GAAATTTATCTGTATCACCTTACAAGGCTTATTGTTATGCATAACTAATTTGTGAGATGGGTCACAATCTCAAAGTGTCATTTTTCATTTTTCGACCGGGGTGCCCCGGCTAAAATTAAAACACTAACCAAAGTCGTTCAATTAACTCTATTGTGGAGAATTCACTCTGGACCACAAAGTGCCACACATTACGGGTTTGTATAATAAAAAAATTAGCCACATTATATTTTTTCTGTTAATATATAACAATGAGAGAATATAGTATACTTACAAATAAAAACAAACAAAATTACTTCGAAAAGTGGCATATCTTTAGAGGTCGGAAGCATGGGTATAAGGTTTGTGACAAATGTAATTATCATTCACACCTATATTGTAAGACCTGTAAAAAAGTAGCGAATGGAATATATAAGCGGTGTGAATGCGATAATTCTCGAATAAATTGCCATTAACGTGTTAAAATAAATTCCGTATATGTATAAATTTATCTGTACTATAATACCTTACAAGGCTTATCATTATGCATAACTCATGTGGAACGAGTAAAAGTACAAAGTATTTTTTCTCGAACCCAACCCAAATTCGGACAATAATCTCATGACACATGTTTGTATGTAATACGTTATCTGTGCAACCAAATCTTTATACGAATTTTTTTGAATTTTATTTGCATAGAAAAAATAATACCCAAGCTTTAAATCTATTCCAAAGCCAGTACAAAAATTTTTCATTCTTTCTAACCAAAACACATATATAGTTCTGTTTTTATAGTTTATAATAAAAACTAAAAAGGCTCTACTAGGTGTTCAAGCGGAATATAATGTATAGCGATCTTTCTCTACGCCGTAATGCTGAAGATGTCGAGATCTCCAATGCACATTCCGCATGTCTAGAGGTACCCCATTACAAACGTAATATAATGTCGAGTGTAAAGATTGGCATAAAGTGTATATGAAGCTTTTTCTTTGTTGCCTTCCTCTTTACACTACCATTCAGAGACAGACGAAACCTATTTATAAAGGGCAGTATAGTTAAGATATTGTTATTTATCGCTTTTTAGTGATTTTGTTTTATTTTTTCGTCACTTTTGATTAATATTTTTTTAAAACAATGATTTTTGAAGTTGACGAATTTTTTCGTACTAAAGGGGAGACTGTTGCTCTTGCAGTAGTAATTGTTGAATCCCCTTATATAAGGGGATTAAAATTTGAAGTAGATATTGTCGAAGCGCTAAGGAGTATTGGAGCTAAAGTAATCCATAAAGGGTGAGTTTCTCGCTGAGTTATTTGTCGAGTTGTTATATATCCGAAATTTACGCTGTCACATCAGTGTAAATATCTAGTAAGAAATTGAAAGCACATCGTGGCCACCGTTCTTAGCGGTGAACGTTCTTTCTTTCTAGTTTCCGGTATTCCCAAGCTTGCCTAGGCAACTGGGAATTCATGATGAATAGGATACACTCTAACATCGAAAGCACTGACGTAGAATATTCCGTCTGTGCAACTTCTTTGATTAGTTGATGATGATGACGCAAGTACTTACATTTTTTTAATTTAGGAGATCGGGTGACGGGAGCATTGATATCATATATGAAATTGCTAGAACCCAATTTATAATTCAATGCAAAAATTGGGTCAAAACCGATATAGGTATTATTATATTAAATCAGATATTTGGGCCTGCCTTCTCGCAATACCACTGACTTTTCGAGCAAGGATTGCGAGAAAAAATTGTACTTGCTTAAAGCCAGATATAGTTAGTCAACAAATTTTAGCCAAATATATTTGGCAGTTAACTACATATCATTTTTCGAGCTTGCGAGAAAAAATAAAATTCAATTATTAATATTAAGTATATTCACAGGTCGCCCAGTTATTGATGAGTTGCTTGGGGTACTTACTAGAACCAAGCAACCAAAAGAGACTATCGGCATTGTAGTGGGCCTGACTATGGGTAATTTTACACCTGGTGCAATAAATACGGCGCTAGAAATAGCAGAACCACCAGAGCCATCGGAACCATTGAAACAACTACCTACGTATCCTATCATTGTGACCGATAAGACCAGGTTACCTAAATATTTGATCAATGCGGTTCTTGATTGGTTACATGATGAACCTTATACCTTCTCCCTCTTACCATGAATTTGTTTAATCCATTGTATATATATATTTTTTTTACTTTTTTTATCATTGTTTAATCCATTGTATATAATTTTTTTACTTTTCTTATCGTATCAATAAAGCTGGCCCTGGTGGCCGATTTTACATAAATAATCGGTTTATTTTTGCATGTGTATTTCGTGGATTTATTTATTGTATTGTTATCAATGTATATTAACTCGCATATGATCAAAGATTTTTCTTGGCAAAGTGATCGGCATTACAATTTGTAACGCGCATATAGTTTTTATTTAGTAGCATATGCACAAGACACCCACGTGTAGTTATTCTGGAGAATCATAATCGAGTAAACTTTAA